CCACATTACAAGAAAATGTTGTGTTTTTTGTCCCATTTAGCAACTGTTAAGATCTGTATTTCAAGCTAATGTTAGCTGGCAAAGAATTCACTCACTGCATGTGTGTCTGCCTGCAGTGTTTCTGTGTAATTTCCAAATTTAGCTAATCTTAATCTTACAAATGACTTCAAATTTAGTAAGTGATGGTTTTTGCCTATTCTAACTAGCAAAGCAGTAAGACACTCACCTCTTAATTGTCAGGATGGAGATGGATGACAATCTGGCAAAGCCAACTCCACTGTCCTTTCAACCATGTGGTCTCAACTTCTTTTTCCCAAAATGCATTGCAAAAACTACAGTAAATTACTGTTTTGTTTCCTTCAAGCAATAATACAGTAAAATATTGTTATAAACCGTTATAATACAGTAATGTCCTGTATTTAAACGTAACAGGATCATACTGTTGAAATTTCCTTGTAAATTTACATCAATTTCTTAGAGTGCAGATCACCCTCTCACCCCTCAGGCAGACGGTACAGACTGCCTGTGGTGAAGACTAAAAGGCATCGGGTCTCATTTGTACCTGCTGCTATTTGTCCGTTGAATAGCAGTTGAATTCTAATTCGTTGCTCATTGCACTTTATAATTTTTAGCGTGATGCTGGAGCATCTCTGCTGGGCTTCATGTTTCATGTTGTATGTACTTATGCACTTGAGGTTTGGATGATTTATTAGTGTTGTTTATGTATTTGTATGTCTCAAGCTGCAAACAAATTTACCTGTGGGGACAATAACGATACCTTTGACCTTTGTAGTGTGTTGTTATCGTCTGGTATTAGTTAACAAAACAAAGGTACGCCTGAGCGTCCATGTTGCTTTTTCGACTTACAACTGGAACGCAGTTAACTCGGGTGTGACGTCGTTCCCATTTCGGAGTTCCGAGGTAAATGGAATGGGGCATTATGCCTCATTGTTCGTTGTGTCTTGCTGGAATCACAATGGATTGTGGGATGCGTAGTTTCTACACTTCTGGAAAAGAGATGATGTACTCAGCTTTGCACCTTTCCCATTTTCTCAGTTTTCCCCCCAATAATTTGCACCAGCTCAAATATTGAAGTCCCAAGTATTCAGGAAGCTGGTTGATTTGGTTCCAGGATTAAAAATATTGATATGAGGTTTTTCTGAAATGTCAATGGAGGATGTGAATGAGGACACTACATCGGGAACCAGAGCAACCAAAAAGTGTTCAAGATTTGCTTGCACAGTAAACAATTATACCCAAATTGTCTGTTATTGTGTATTGCTGAAATAATTTAACAGGTTTCTCAAGGTAAGGCACTAAAGGTGATTGCATCATCTCTCTTGAAACTGCCAACCATGTTAACATGAAGGCGTTGCATGCACATGGCAAGGACAGAAGCTTAAATACAGTATGACTGAGCAGACAACTCTGCAGACCAGCTCTGCTCTTATAGAGAGCATGGATGCTAACCTGCTGATATCATTTAAATGAAAAGGATTTTCTATCATTTTAGGTTTTGCATGTTGACTTCACAGATATCTGGGATGAATTTTGATCTTTTTTTTAGGGAAATTAATTTTTATTTTTGCATAAATGTCTGAATTGTTTCTCTGAAATGTCTCATTTAAATCTGTCTCAGAGCAACATCACCACTGAACAGTATCAGGGGCTACTGGAAAGAGTGTTGTTCTCCATTTTCACAACGGTACCATGCTGTGTGTTTCTCTTCATTAATTTTACCATGTTGTTCATCTTAAGGAGTAAGGCTGTGTTTTGTGAAGCCTCTCGTTACATTCTGTTGTATAACCTGCTTTTTGCAGATACTGTAATGCTGCTTCTGAGTCAGTTAATGTACATAATCACTGCATGTAGGATACTGCTGACATATCCTATGTGTGTTGTTCTTAACATGCTTGCTGCTCTCACAGAAGAGATCTCTCCGCTCACACTGGTGGTGATGTCTCTGGAGAGGTATGTAGCTGTGTGCTACCCACTGAGCCATGCTTCTATCATCACCATCAGAACCACAGTGGTGGCAATCATTGTGGTTTGGGCTATCAGTTCACTAAATGTCCTCACTCGAGTTATTTTGCTGTTACAATTTCCATTTGAAGACCTGCAAAGCCTGCAGATGACAAAACTTTGTAGTGTACGCGTCATGTTTGTCGTTCCAACAAAATTTGATTATTATAACAAAGCCTACACTTGTTTTGTATTTGTATCAGCTGGTTTAGCAATCATTTCCTCTTATATTGGCGTGATGATAGCTGCCAGGTCGGCCTCCACTGACAAAGCTTCAACTCATAAGACTCGTAACACACTGCTGCTGCATATGATGCAGCTAGGCCTCACTCTCTCCTCAACTATACACAACCCACTGATCACAGCTGTTTCTGACATAGTAACAAGGATTGTTCTTGTTCGTATTCACAGTATTTTGTGTTTGAGTCACATCATCTTCCCTAGATGTCTAAGCGTTCTTATTTATGGCATCAGAGACCAGACCATCAGACCCCTCCTTGTGTACCATCTGTGCTGTCGAAAAACACTAATCACAGGCAGGTCTTAGAACTGTAGCGTAAGTAAAGATGGAGAAAAACAGAAATGCATATAAAAGAAGTCCATATGGAAATGAGTGTTGGTTGACTGTCTGTGCCTTCACCTTGAGTTTACATGAGAACATCAGTACATGTTTTTATCTTCTTTGCATATTGCTTTTCACATGGATTATTTGTTGCTTTGAAAAACAATGTGATAGAGCAGGCACTATATGCTTTTTGTCCTTTTTATCACGTTTCATGAATGCCAATTTTAAAGTATTGCTATTCAAGAAGTATTGTGACTTGATCGTATGGAATAATGCAATTTTCTTTTCTATTTTAAACAAAAACCCAAGTTGAATCAAACATCAGGAGAGAGATAGGGTATCATCAGTAATATTTCCAAAACTATTTCACATCATGTGTCAGTCAGTCAGTCAGTCGGTGTGACGACCCCTCCCTCTTTGCTCCTACTCTGCCTGCCTATATGCATTCTTTCTTGTTTCTTAGGGTGCACTCACACTAGGTAATCTGTCACTCTTCACCCCCAAAGTCCAGTTCTTTTGACTAGAGCTAGTGCTCTGATCCATGCTCAAGCTCGATACACTTCCTTGGCTCTGGCACGCTTGGAAGAGGTGTGATCATGCGACACGTTACAGTTCATGCACAAGCACAGGTACACAACATGGACAGCCTTTATTATGGAGAAATCTCAGAGTGTTCTGGCTGTATCGACTAAAATGACGCAGCCACCTCAGCCTTTACTTTGTTTGGTTTGCTGCACTCATCACTATCATCAAGCATTTTCACTCACACAGACATTTCAAAGATGACTGATTCCTCATTCTCACATTTCACATTAGTGAGTTAATACATTGGATAATTTTAGTAAAATAAAGAGAATTTTGACTGAGTATCTTTGTGTGACCTCCCTCTTTCGTAACCAGCCCTGAGCCATGTGGTAGAAGTTGCTCTATTTTCTTTCTTTTCTCATCGGCTTGTTATTCTTACTATAAGGTGAAACATTCAGGGGATCTGTACTTTCTCTGTGGTCATCATCTGATATGTATCTATTTTTACCAGTCACTATTTTTTTTACCAGCCATTTTACAGACAGCATTGTCTTATGACGTATAATATTAAAATCAAGGCGTATTGTATTCAAGTATTAGGTTATATATTGAGAGGAAATTCTGACATGCTCTTTGTCCCTCTCACAGAAACACATTAATTTTAGTTATTTAAGTTATTATTTTGAGGCTGGTTTAAAGAGGGCATATTATTCCCCTTTTCAAACAGTCCCCTGTGGTCTAAATGAAACATCTGTGCTGTGCTTTGGTCAAAATATAACATGAATCAAGCACCAGAGGAGGTTTGTGACCCTGTATAAACCAGCTCTCTCAGAACGCTCTGTTTTGCTGTGTGTGTCTCTTTAAATGCAGTTAGCCCCCCCCCACCCCCGAGTAAAAAATCTGATTCAGTTTCACTTTTGGCTCATGTGAATGCAGCCATAGAGTTATGGGATTGTGCCTGTGGACGGACTGGGATTCCCAATTTACAACATGGGGGAAGGGTGGGCATCATCTTTCAGGTATTAGGGTAGTTTCACGCTAGGGACCCGGGTCCGGATCTGAGTAAGCTTGACCCAAAAGTCCAGTTCAGTTGATCAGTGTGAACACAAATGTACTGTACTTTTGTACCACGCCCGATTCATGTGTACACAAGTATGGTCCGCGGGAGATGTGAACAAAGTGGGCAGCTATATGACGTAAGTCTTAACAGCTCGTGTCGCTTCAGTAACCGCTGTATCCACGAATTACGGGCCGTTACACAGTAGATGTGTGAGTGGGAAGAGGGTCGTTGTTGGCGTCTCTATTTTCTTCTGTTAGTTCATATAATGCACATGCACATGTTAAATTTACAAATTATCCCTGCACTCATGTTCACTTCATTTGTCTGTCTACTCGCCGTTATATTGAATAGTTTCTGCTTATAATATGTCTACACTCATGCACTTTAACTTATATCAATACTATCCATTTACAACTCTGTTTTTGAACATTTACATTCAATTTTTCATATTTAATCATCCTATTTAAAACTAGTAATGCTTAGTTAAATCCTGGTTGTATATATTCACATTCTTAGTTCTGATATTTTTTGTACTTATTTACTTTGTATTTAATATTATATTGTGTTTAGATTTGCTAATATTGTGTGTTTTAACAACCTGCTGCTGTAACGCCACAATTTCCCAGTTTGGGATCAATAAAGTAATTCTATTCTATATTCTTTAATTTGACAACAAAAATGTATTAACAATGGATCACAGTGGGTGGACACAACACTGGAAATATTTTCAAAGATTAAACTAACAAATCCAGACGGTGGCGGTAGTATGGATCCAACCGCCATAAAACTCAACAGAAGAAGAAGAATTCTCGTCACCTGTGATGTCGTCATTACGCATGACGTATGAATGTGCGTCGTGACGATTGCTGGTCGACAGTTTTCCCTCCTCGTTGACAAAGCTATCCGGCGCTGCTGATGTTTGTCTAAACAAACATCATTTTGGACTCGATAGCTTCAACAACACCACGAAAGGAAGATAAAGAAACCCACCGACCAGAGCAGCGTTGGTTTAGGTAACTGAGTTTTAAACTCACGGTTCTCCTTCGTCTGTCTGCCGTTTGTTTTGCTAACGTTTGCGTAGTTAGCAGGCGCGCTAGCTGGCTAACGTTAGCATGACACACGTAACTCTTAACAAACTGTCAGTAGCGTCAAAATACAAGTATGAGTTTGAATTTTAAACATGCTTTTGCATTGTGGATAATAGTTACAGTGTGGACAGCTGTATTAAAGTCGTAATGTGTTGTTAGCCGTCAGTCTTGATGCTACATGTCCGTGTTAGCCTCCGTGTTCTGGTTTCTAACTGGTTTTATCTGGAAATATCTCGAGAATACTCGGCTATGTTTTCCTACAGTTTAACCTCCCCCATCCAGTAGGGGCTGAAATATTCAATTATTATGAAATATATAGGATTCCCGGTGTTTGGATGAACGGCTGAGCCTGGTGAGCTGCACGTGGAGCAGGAAGTCTGTTATGATGATTTCTTAAAATAAAACATTTTTTAACTTCAGAGTTAAACTCATCGTCACTTAACTTTAAAACAACGTCCAAGTTTCACTTTCCACATCTGACTTCGTATGTAAGTGTCAAATGTGAAACTAAAAGTCTTAAAATAATAATGTTTGAGTTCTCAGTTGATTTATTTTTTAGAGTACTGTTGGTATTTTGTGCAGTTTTACTATATTTTATGTTGAAACTAGGAAATCCATGTGCATAAGGTTGTTTAAATATCTTAAGTCAATGGATTTTGATACTATAAATCACTAATGCCCACTCTTTTTTAAAGTAGCAATCAGTAAGATCTGTAGTGACTGAAATGATAAAAAGCCTCTGCATGTTTCTAATAAGCTCCATGAGCAGAAACGTGCTCAAACTAGGATCAATATTGGAGATGCTTTTGAAAAATGGAGAGAGGTTAGAACACAGAAAGGTTTACAGACTGATGCAGAGCTGGATAAACACTGAAGCTTCAGTGTCCACCACATGGTGACCTGCATGAGCATCGACTCTAAAGAGGAGGGGGCGAGGGGGAAACAGCTCTCTACAATGTTTAGAATTTGGACTGCAGTACCCATTTTAAACACTAGGAGTCAGAGATACAGATTGCTCCTTTAATGGTCGATATAACAGAAAATGACCAAATCTTTACATTTCTTAGTTTACAAATCTGTATCTTGATGTTGTAGGGCTGGCTGGGCACTAAATCATGGGGTTTTAAGACATATTAATGTATTTTCAAGAGATACACACCTACAAGATATAGGGTAATATATTATTATTAATATAATTGTAGCTCTGCTGTCATTACGCCTGAAAACAATAATATTATCCCTGTTCAGACTGTTTTTTTTTCAAGCTGTTATATTTACGCCCCTCAATTTCGCGGCAGCGTAATGGGGGGGACTGTCTTTGGACTGCTGTGTGTGCATGCATGTCTGACTGTTTGTCTATGTGGAGCTTAAGACATGTTGTTGTAGAAATGCAGGTTTTCAAACAGTGTATATTAAGTTTATGGTTTTTGTTTGTCTCCATACAGACAACCTATGAGGTCCTGCTAGCAGGGCAAGATGTTCAACAAGTCATTTGGTACTCCCTTTGGGGGAGGGACTGGGGGGTTTGGTACCTCATCAACCTTTGGCCAGCAAAGTAAGTTTTTTTTTTTTATTTTTAAAATGTAAATTCTGTGATGCAAACCTTTAACAACACCTAGGTGAATGTTAGAAATAACAAAGTGACTTCCTTATTGTCGGTTTGATTCTCTAGACTTCTAAATTTTAAAGTTCAACAAACCAGACGCCATGTTGAAACTGAATTCGCATGTTGGTCGTTGAATGTTAATGTTTCTCCTCTGGGGAACAGGGAAGATATGCAACACAGATGAACAAATGCATCACCTTTTCTCCTCAACATCAGTATCAGCCCAAAAAATCCTATATCGTTTGGCGCCAGCAAGTACACAGATGAAATATTACAATAGACTCCGTAAACTTCAGAGATCAAACGGCTCAGTCCAAATATCCAGAGACTCTAACTGCTCTTTACAGGTTGATAAAAAAGATGTACAGACAAAACAACCTTTCTTAGTTTTTTGTTCTCGATTGGTGAATTTGCAGCAGGTGTTTATAGCATCATGTCCTGTCCTCATGTCATCCTCTCCTCATGTGAACTCGGTTTCTTCAGACGCAGGTTTTGGGGCACCAGCAGGAGGCTTTGGGACGTCTGCGTTTGGGACCACAGCCACCGCTCCAGGACTGTTCGGCGCTACACAGAATAAACCTGGTTTGTCAGCTGCTATCTTTAAGCCTCTTTCACACATGAACTCCAGAAAATCTCTAGACAGCCTGCCTCTGTAATCCTCCGGAGGTGTGCTTTCACACATGTCCCTCACAGCAGGACATTTTCCTGAATATTTCCTGCTGTGTGCACACATCTGACTTCTTGTGTACATTTTATAAGGAGGTTGGCAGGAAACATTCTTGATAAAGTTAGGGTAAAAAAATGTCTGTTTGCATTCACACATGCGGCAGACCCTGAAGATTTGGAGGCATTTTCAGGAGTTTGGTGCATGTGTGAATGCATCTATAATATCAGTCAAATTTATGAAGTGTTTGGCAGTTCAGTTTCTTAGTGCTATGAGCTCCACCAGAGACTGTCTTCCTGCAAAGTGTCTTAATCCAGTGTTCAAACTTCTTTTTTGTATTCCAGCAGAAAGAAATAAAGTGAAAGATATCGGTAAATCAATCCCCTAACATGTTTATCAATTGAGTAAAGAAGGTGGCTTTTAAAGATGAACAGAGAAAAACTTTGCATAATAAAATTCTCCGTGTTTTTCCTTTAGGCGGTCTGTTTGGGTCCAGTACGTTCAGCCAGCCGGCGGCTTCTTCCGCCAGCACTGGCTTCGGTTTTGGTGCAGCAAGCGGAACGACCACCAACCTGTTTGGCAGCACGGCAGCGGGCACCACCGGTGGACTCTTCTCCCAGCAGAACAATGCCTTCAGTGCCAACAAGCCCACCTCGTTTGGAAGTGAGAACCCCCCATATATATCTGCTGTACTTACTTATTGAATGTGATATGATCATTAATGACAAACTTCTTCTGAAGCATGAAACTGTTTCATTAAAAAACATGAGCAGAACCAAAAATACAACATAATAAAAAGAATGAGTTCTAAAAATGTCTCAGCCAAACTGCTGCAGAGAGAAATGAGTCCAAAGGTGTTTTCAGACCGCAGAAACTTCTTCATAGTTCTAGGAGTCGTTGGTACCCTCCTCCTTTAGAACCTTGTTAAGAGGAACCTTTTTAGCTCCTGCTTCAGAGTAGGTACCATGTCATTTTAAATGAAGACAGAAAAACAAGTCCCAATGATGTGTAGCTCTCAGGGAACTCCCTAGATAGAAGATAATTCCTCCTCAAAAAGATCCCAGAACTGTTTGGTCAGAAAACACCTAATGATTGATCCTTTCAAAAAGTACAGAAGTTTTTAAAGAACTTCAGATCTTCAGTCATAGCAGTCAACCAAAAGCTGATCGAAAGAGAGCACTGTCTCAGTCTCGCAAATAAGTTGGCATTGTTTGTGTACAATTTAGAATTAATTGAAAAGAAGAAATGAACAAATATTTGGTACCTAGGACTTTTTGTTCCTGTTGTGTTGAAACAGGTTTCAGAAGCTTTTGACTTTAACTTGAATCATATCAGGGTTAAAATTCTGGTATCATGAAACTGTAGTTTCTAATTCATGTAGACACCATTGAGATTTATCTAATAAACTTTCAGAACCTCCTGACAAAGTCTCCCTCCCACCGTGTCCTCCAGGCTTCGGGACGAGCACCAGCAGTGGCGGGCTGTTCGGCGCCACCAGCACTGCCACCGCCAACCCTTTTGGTGGAACCGCCTCCCTCTTCGGAGGCGCTGGCTTCTCCGCCACACAGCAGCCAGGAACCACCGTGAAGTTCAACGTGAGTAAAACTGGACGCACGACATGTCACAGAAAAACCTGTCTGTAGAGGGATGGCCGTCTGCAGCTGTGTCACATTTAAATACTACGTATTCACTCATCTCTCGCTTTCTGATTTTTATTTTTTTAGTTTATTTTTTTAGTTTCCCCTTGTAAACATTATGACATGTGGTGCATTTATTTTGAACAGAATAAAGTTTCTCTCCAGTGTTGTCAACATTTCAATCATGATGTGGATATTATTAATGCACCGTTATCTCCACTTTGTAAAACGAGCTCTGTTGGTGAGGAAAGCGAGAGAAAATCACAGAAAAGTTTCCTTTATATGACACTGCCAGTTTTTAAACTTCAAACCAACTGGATGACAATTTGGAGCCTGAAATTTGTCAAACGGAAACCAAAAAGTTTGAGCATAACACACATTAAACTTGTCTTTTGTTTTCCAACCTTCAGCCTCCAACAGGAAGTGACACAATGGTGAAAGCGGGCGTGACCACAAACATCAACACCAAGCACCAGTGCATCACCGCCATGAAGGAGTACGAGAACAAGTCCCTGGAGGTGAGACTTTAGGGCGACACACTGCTGCGTGACGAGTTCTATCGTGTTCAGTCTACAACGTGCAGCGACTGTGCAGAAAAATATTGTTTACGGGTTTGACCTTTTCTTTATGTTCTTTAAGTTTTTTATTTTCTCTCCCGTGCCTCCCTGCAGGAGTTGAGGCTGGAGGACTACCAGGCAGGCAGGAAGGGTCCAACCACCCCAATGGCGGCACCGACGGGCAGCATGTTCGGCGCAGCCCCGGCCACATCCAGCGCTGCCACCGGTCTCTTTGGCGCCACCGCCCCCAACACCAGCTTCTCCTTCGGACCGAACAAGAGCACTTTCGGAGCGAGTAAGTGATAACTACAACAAAGTCTAATCCGTCTTAAGTTGCACAAAACTATTGGAAAAGTTAAAGTACGAGTTAAGTATGCAATTTGTTTAGGTCATTAAAACTAAATAATTATTATAATTAAGAACACAATTAAACTCCTATTTTGTTGCTGCGGTTTAGAACCAGGTATGTATGTTGTTTGGTTTTGACAAGTATCGCTTCATTTAATATTCTACGTTAACATGCTCTTTGTTTTTCATCTCTCCAGCACCTGCCGCCGGTTTCGGTGCGACAGCCGGCGGTCTGTTCAGCCAGCCGACACAGCAGCCTGCCGCCAGCCTCTTCAAGCCGTTTGGTCAGCCCACCACCACTCAGAGCACGGGCTTCTCCTTCGGCAACACCAACACCATGGGACAGGCCAACACCAGCAGCATGGTGAGAGTCTTTCTGATTCCCGAGGTTTATAAATAGCAACACACAGCAATCCGTGTGCCAGTTGCACAATTAGAATAACAACCTAACAAACTAAGCCTGTTAGGGACAAAAACAACACCTTTTAGAGATAACACTTTGATCCACCTACCATTATGTTACAGACAGCCTAGTGGTTATGTTGTGCCCCACTTACAGAGTCCTCATCTTAGCGGCTGTGGGTTCGAATCCGACCTCTGCCCTTTGTTGCGTCGTATCCCCCCCTCTCTCCTCCCAACATTTTTTCCCTCTCCTGTGTTTCAGGGTTTGTTTGGGAACACTGCAGCGTCTCAGTCGGGCGGGTTGTTTGGCGCAGCTCAGACGAGTACGGCCACCGGCTTTGGGACAGCCGCGGGGCTGTTCGGCCAACCCAACACTGGGTTTGGAAATGTGGGAACTCAGGTACAAACGGTTTTATCTGATATCGAACACATTTTAGTTCCAGTCAGTTTATCAGTATCAGAAACTCTGAGTCACATGGTTATATCAGCCGTTTCTGCTAAAATGAACTCTGCATGTGTTATATGCCTTCATGTGTTGTTTATTACAGCCGAGTCTCTTTGGTAATAAGACGGCTGGGTTCGGCACCACCACCACCAGCGCCCCGTCGTTCGGCACCGGCACCGGGCTGTTTGGAAACAAGCCGGCGCTCACGCTGGGCACGGCAGCCAACACGTCCACCTTCGGTAAGTCTGCCGTCAGAGATTTATTGCTCTACTTACGTGTGGATTTGTCCCACAATGCACATCGTTATCAAACCTGTGTCACTGATCAAATATTTTTCAGGATTTGGTGCGAACCCCGCTGCAGGGAGTCTGTTTGGGAGCAAGCCGGCCACCGGAGGACTGGGAACTGGGCTGGGAACCAGCTTTGGAGCAGGTACGAGAGAGACCACGACATCAGGAAGGAATTCAAACATAAACCGAGCTAAAACCAGGAACTAAAGTTAAACAACATTTAGAATACTGAAAACCCCTTTTTCATGCTCGTACCTCGGTGGTGCAATGTGAAACACTAAAATGAGAAACCACCCTCAGATTTTATTTTATAATAATTGGTTTACACTTGACGGAAACAATTTTTTAGAGTTCTGATTTTTCATGAGCAGCTGAGTTAGAATTCTGACACAGTGTTGTGTGTGTTCAGCAGTGGGTGCCGGTCAGACATCTCTGTTTGGAAGTAACCAGAACAAACTGGGCACCACGCTGGGAACCATGGGAACGTTCGGAGCGACAGGATTCAACAGCGGGACGAGCACGCTCGGCTTTGGAGCTCCGCAGCAGCCCGTCGGTGAGACAGAGAAAAGAATCTGACCTTATTTTTTTAGAAGTATTTAACTTTGCACAAAACGTACTTTAACTCAACATGTCTTCACCTTCAATGTCACACTGTCACGTAAAAAAAAGTAGATGTTCTTTGTGAGATTACACCGAGAAAAATTGCATTTCTGCAGATCTAATGTGGCCTGAACTGTCGGGGTCTGATCCAAACAACATCCTGCTGCTGTTGGATCTCAAAGGGGCGCAGGAGGATTTTAATCAACAATGTTTTTTTCTTGAGCGGTAGTTAAGGCGGAGGGTGCATGTTGTTACGATAAGATACACCTAATTTTACCCTTCGGGAAATTTGTCTTTGACAAATGAACAGCTGAACATTCAGCTGCTTCCACGATAATCAATAAATAAAAACGATAGAAAAACACATGCAAACCAACACAACATTTCTTCCACGTTACGGCAGCCGCCTTCTCTATAAACTGCTGCGGGACACACTGGTATTGATCATAATGCTCCACTTTTCCAATTTTTTAACTGTGAATATTTCATTTCTTGTCCCTCTCAGGAACATTTGTTGATTTGTTTTTTTCATGTCTTGCCTGCAGCTCTCACAGATCCGAATGCAGCGGCGGCCCAGCAGGCCGTGCTACAGCAGCAGCTCAGCGTCCTGGCCTACTCACCGTACGGAGACTCGCCGCTGTTCAGAAACCAGCTGTCAGACCCGAAGAAGAAGGAGGAGGTGAGAGAGACGAAGCTGCTTTTTTTTTTTTTATTGACAAAGCTTTGTCACAAAATGAAAGTGTTGCCACATTACAATCACAAACCTGTTCTTGCAGCGTCTGAAACCAACCAATCCGACGGCTCAGAAGGCTCTGACCACACCCACTCACTACAAACTGACGCCCCGCCCTGCGACCAGAGTCCGCCCCAAAGCACTTACATCATCGGGAGCCTCCAAGACACAACTCTTCGATGGCCTGGATGATGATGAGCCCTCGCTCACCAACGGAGCCTTCATACCCAGGTAACCACCTGATCACCATGGCAATAGTGTCTGAACAGGTGTTTGAAAGTGTTCTGTGAGATCCGCCACCAACACGATCACGTGTAGCCGGCGCTAAACTACGAGAAAACATTTTTAATTCAACAAATCTGACTTTACTGCTGCATCACGAGTGTTGCATCGAGCTGACTTTGTGTGTTTCGTTGTGTGTGTGTCTTGTTGACAGGAAGAGTATCAAGAAACTTGTGCTAAAGAACCTGAACAGCAGTCAGTACAACAGTCCAATCAGCAAAGAGACAGATGACCTCGCTTCACCTTCAGATTATCCACAGAATGGACACAGGTATGAACACACAAACTAATTTGAAACGTTTAATCACCGTCCACTTGATTCTTTTAAAATATAATGGATTCATAATGATTTTAAAGAAGAAAGCTTAACAGTGAGCTGATAGATGACGCAGAGCTGAATCGCATCCTTTCCCCCGTTATTCTGTCCTCAGTCACATGGAGGATGAGGAGGAGCTGAGGGAGGCGCCGGGCCGCAGCAGCCGAGCTGAAGACGACCCAGAGGTCACACAATTTTACGTCAACCCCATCGCCAAACCGATCCCTCAGGGATCCCTCAGGGTCCAGACCAGCCTGCAGGACACCATCAGCGACCTCAACTTGCACAAAGCAGCCAGGAACGGACTGGAGGTCAGAGGAGCTCCTCTAATCGATCTGTGTTTTTATGCTGTGTTTGGTTTAAATCATGTAGAGTGTTTGAGGAGCTCGGAGCAGAATGTGCATGAAGCTCTGAGACAACAGAGGGAGTGTTTACACATCCTTAATTGTTCTCTTTAGAGTCGAGACATTCAAATCTGTTGTTGATGCAATTAAAGAGACCATCTTGTAGGGTTAGTTTTCACACAATAGTTTGTGTTGGTCCCTTCTAAGATCAGAGTAAACTGAAGTTTTTGAATTAAGCATGTGGAGCGTATGTTTCAGTATTTCTACCCGCACACTCTTTGTAGACGTTTGTATTGAGAGGTCGTTGTAGAGGTTCTGGTGTTGATTTCTCATTTTCTCTTCCTCAGCTGAGCAGTGAGGATGTGTCGGCGTCCCTGGGGGAGGAGTCTCTGCAGGAGGAGAGAGAGGAGGAGCCACAGGAGTCCCAACAGTCTCCTCACCCTGCAGGTAAGAAATACGGATACATAACCCCTAAAGTTTTGATCATTTTAAAGGCTTTATATGTGATTTTTTTTTTTTGATCCAGCAGATTTCGTCCTTGCGCACCAGCATTAAACCAAAACAACTTGTGCATTGTTGTGTTAGCATGCTAATGCTAGCGATCTTTATTATGCTCGTATCTTCACACTGCATGTAAATTTACCTGAAATGACCGTGATCTAGAAACGCAGTTCAGCTGTGAGTACAGTATGTTATTCTTCTTTTCTCTAGTCCCTCAATTAAACAACTTTTATACGTGAGGGGAGGAGTCAGCCGCCGTCCCGGCGATGTAAACAAACTGAAGAGATGACTCAGAAAACTACGGAAAGCATCACAGACAGTGGGACTCGGGTGTTACACCCATTGTAGACAGTCATGACTCAGTTATTTTCAGAGGATATACTTGATTTCTATTACATTTAAGTGTGAAAAATCGCATCTAAAGCCTTTAAACCTCTGGTTCGTGATAATCCTGACAATTAGAGCAGCTAAAATGAAGAAGTTTGCATGGGCAGAATCAGAAAATTTGGGAAACAAGAGCGCCCTACAGCTATTAAAGAGAAAGAAAACAATTTAAAAAATCTAAGAAGAGACTGAATCATTTAAAGATCAGTATTGGTTCTCCTCCGTCAGAAACATCAACTTTACAAACACTATAAATACACAACTCATCTATGTGAAACTCAATAACAAATAATCTGCAGATGACGTGTGGCCATCTGGCACTGTTGTTGGATCTCACGTCAAGGCGCTGGAGGATTTAAACCTTATTTTTCACAGTAGTTAAGGTGGAGGGCGTGTGTTTTTAAGGTGGCCACACTAACGTCAGAGCTCTCAGGGAAACATTGAAAGCTGAATAAATTTAAAGATGTAATAATAATAAACAGTTATATGTTCTGATACCAAAGGAAAATAATATATCAGATAATATTGCACTGATGTTGATAAATAAAGATATATATTCACGTCTTCTTGGCAGATGTACAGAAAGGTAAAAGTAACTTCTCTTTGAAGTCTTTCCTTTACGATGTTCTCCGTTATGGTCAGAGGAAAGAGATTATTTTTATTTTTAAACTGAACCGTTTGGTTTTCTGCAGAGCGAATGCATCACCTGCTTCCTGTTTTTCAGGCATCGTTCTGAACCGTGTGGGATACTACACCATCCCTTCCATGGATGATCTGTCGGAGATGGTGGACGAGAACGGAGACTGTGTGGTGGAGAACTTCACTGTCGGCAGGAAAGGTAACCAGACCTCACTCTCACCTGACGTCAGACGGTCTGACGTTTGAGCTCTCTGAAGTCTGAGACACTTTCAGTCCAAACTCATCAGAGCGATAGTCTACTTCTGTTTACCTGCTGGGTTCTCAGCCCGTGTGAGACTCACCTGTTTTGTCTAATTTCTCTGCTCTGATTGGCTCTCACAGGCTACGGCTCCATCTTCTTCCCCGGCGAGGTGAACGTGACTGGACTGAACCTGGATGAGATTGTCCACTTCAGACGCAAAGAAGTCATCGTGTATCCAGATGACAAAAACAAGCCGCCTGAGGGGGAGGGGCTTAACAGGCGAGTGATATGAGCGCTGTAAACTGTCTGTCATGTCTGAACAGTCGTTAAAGGTGGAGGATTCGTAGAAAAGTTCTGCCTCATCTAATCCGTTTTCTTTGTGTGTGTGTCGCAGGCGGGCCGAGGTGACTCTGGACGGCGTTTGGCCGAACGATAAGACGACCTGCATCCAGATCAGGAGCCCCGAGCGCCTGACTGACATGAACTACGAGGGCCGTCTGGAGAAAGCTTCACGCAAACAGGGCGCCAAATTCCTCGAGTACAGAACTGAGACTGGATCCTGGGTCTTTGAGGTCTGTCACTGATTTAAACCTGAAAATAACTCAGACTCTTTTCTTGTTTCATTGGTTCTTCTTTACGGACTCCAACGCAGGGTGGTCACGATACCAGAATTGAAACTTGTACCTAATTATTAACTTTAAGTAAAATCCGGTACATATGATGCAGTCAGATTTTTGGAGTTCTGTCAGAGAAATTTTTTTTAAACTGTCGTCCTCCTGTGTGACGATTTCTATCTTTTCTTTCTCTCTCTCTCAGGTGAGCCATTTCTCCAAATACGGCCTCCAGGATTCTGATGAGGAGGACGACGTCCCGCTCAAGACAGACCCCAAAAAGCTGAAGACGATGATGTCACTTCCTCCCTCCAATCTGCAGCAACAACTGCCCCCATCCCAGCACCAGGTGGCGCCGCAGGCTCAGGTAGAGCAGCCTGCGCCCATCAACACTCATCTTCATCCTCACTGACACACAGAGAGATGATTAAAGGAGCAGTTCACGCAAACCCTTTGATTTCATTAGCTTGTTTTCATTTACAGTTTTTGAGTCGGTTGTTTTGTTTCTCCGGGAATGCCATGACACTTTATATCCACATTAAATATCTTCGACATTGAATCTTTAAGCCTTTAAAGGCAGGAATGTTTTACTGTTTAGGGTTAGAGCATCTGAAGGTAAATATAGTCAGGATCAATTACAAGTGACCGACTCGATGATGACCAGAAGGGGAGCAATAATTCAGCAGCATGACCTGACATACCAGAAATGTTAAGTTTTCTCAGAGAAGTGAGGATGAGAGGTAGAATCTGTTTGTGCAGCTGATTGTTGTCACACTGAGCTCAGTATTAGAAATGTAAACGTGCAGACAGACGTGTCGTGTTGAAGAAGAAGAATGTATTTTTATTTTCTCTGTTCAGGAAACGTATCAGGCTTTATTGTGTTTGAGGTGTTTTAATATAAAGAGTTTCAGCTGCCTTTTATTGTGAACGTATTTTATAGAGAGTTTGTTGTGTTTAACATAAAGTTAAACTTCTTCAGATCAACAGTTTATATCAGGCTGCTGCTGATTACACAAATTCATTGCTCTCTCTCGCTCTCTGTTTCTCTCTCTGTCTGTCACAGCTGCTTTGGTTAAACCTGACTTAAGATATGAAGTCTATTTTTAAGTTTCTGCATTGTCTGATACCATCGCTCATTGAAATAATAGCATGTATGGTTTCGTATTTTGACGACCTTATTTCAGTTTGTAACCTGCTCTGAGGTGTGACACAGGAAGTGCACTTTCTCATTATGTGAATAATAAAAGATGAATAAAGTTAACCAAGGTGATATTTACATTTTGGTCTGATTAGCTTCTCTTCATGACAATAAATGAAATCAGAGTTTTAATATCTCCTGTCAGGCTGAGACAGGTATTGAGTTTTGTTTGAATCGGGGCGGTCAGCATTAACGAGTTGATCACGATTAACCTCATGTTATTTTGTCCCTTCAGGATCACCGTAGATAGTCGTCCTCAGTGTCTCCCTGTAGTCTCAGTGATGTAAAAGAAGGACACTGCTGCAACTTTGAATGTCTCATTTCACTTTAACAAACTCTCAGACAGCTCAGCTGACGAGTCCAAAGTCATATCCACCTAAACTTCCTGTTCTAACCATCACTCTACAGGAAGGGCCTTACTTTATTTCAAAATAAAAGCACACAGCAAGTAAAGTACTCTCAGCTTAAGACGGTACAAACATTCAAAATAAAAGCCTAATAATTTATATTTTTAAATGCCAAATAATATAATTTCTAACGTGAGTAATCAGGGCGCTGGTAGTGTAGTTCTTATTGTTGTCTAAACAGGATAAGATGTCTGTTATTTTAAGAGATTAATGGATCGTGATTGGAAAAACGATCAAAACCAGGCAACATGTCCACAAATCACAGACTGCTGTAGAGTCCTGATAAAAGGTCAAAGGTTGCAGTATGTTCTGTTTTCAGTATGAATGAAGCTCAGAGTTTTTATAAGTTCCTGTAGGTGAAAATAGGAAATGTTAAGTCCCTGATGAAGTCTATGTTTGTGGCTCTAACCTCCTCGTCCTTCTGTGTCTTCAGTCCACTGTTGTGGCTGATCTTCATAGCGACATGGCAGAGTTGGACAGCGACATGGCCGACATAACTCAGAGCTTCCCGACAGAGAGCATGCTGGGAGGAGAAGGGTACATTGAGTTGCCTGTGGGGGAGATGGAGACAACAGCCGGGAAGCTCGCAGGTTTGATCTCCGCAGAGCACGACAGTGTCTCTACGTCCGGCCACATCGCGTCCTCGCTGGGCATCAACCCGCACACCCTTCAGGTAGAGCCGCAGTCCTCAGTTTGTCCTCATGACATCGCCAGAGCGCCGCCGTGTTAAAATGTCTGTTCCGTCTGCAGATTATGAAGGCGTCTCTGTTTGCTGAGGACGAGGATGGCGACGACATGTTCCCGGATCACACAGCCATGAAGGTGTCTAAGGTCTCTGACATCTCGTCCCCTCGCCTGGTCGTGCCGGGGACTCAGAGCCGACCCTCAGGTAGGAAACGATAAACTCCGCCAACCTCTTCAATTTTTTACCCCAACTTTTAGAATATTGGCTGCTATTACTTGGAAAAGCAGTTATTGAACATGATGAGTATTCTCTCTCTCTCTCTCTCCTCCAGTGGGCGGTCTCCTTCAGGCTCGTTTCACCTCCGGCCTCCTCTCTCAGATGTCAGACTCCTCCCCCCGCCCCCCTCTTCTTCCTCCCTCTCTGTCTCGGGCGTCTCCTTCGGCAGTTGAACCCTCCCGGTCCATGCAGTGGGCGGGGCCTGGACCCACTTCTTTCCTGCTGCCCCCTCGGGCTCCTGAGCCGGCAGTCAGGACAGTTGGCGTTCGACGCCTGGGCGGCCCTGTCCCCTTAACAGAGTCGATCACTCAGGGGAAGGTTGTTTTTTTTTTTATTCTCATTTTCTCTGAACACAAACTCTAAACTCCGAATGTGACTTGATGAAGGTTAATCCTTTTCAGGGCCATCTGTTGATGGACGCGGGGCTGTTTGCAGGTCGCTCCTTCAGGGTGGGGTGGGGTCCCGGCTGGACGTTGGCACACTGCGGCCAACAGCTGAGCTCCCTGTCAGCCAGACAGCTCGACCAGGAACTGACCACCAAAACCGACTTCAGCTTCCTGCCAAAACCAGCCAGGAGCAAACCGTAAGACGAAGACCTCTTCTGTTTGTTTTATGATTTATCATCTAATCTGACACGTGAACTCCTTCTACTAATGGCCACGTCTGTCACAATGTTCCTCGTTTAAAATCAGTTCATAGATTGTTTATCGAACGAGTGTCAGTAAAGTCTGGCACAGTAGTAATATCTTACTGGTTCTTTTTGGCCGAGCTGAAAATGATCCCATCTGTGAGATTTGATGATCTGTTGCAGAAGGAAACTGAAGAAACGTGACCGTGGCGTGTTTCTCTCCTCAGACTCGTGGAAAGTCCCTATAAGGTTCTGTTGGAGCAGCTGGTGGGTCTGGAGCCTCCTGCAGTGAAGAGCAGTGAGGAGGAAGACGAGGAGAGCCAGGCGGTGCTTCAGCGCCCCCTGGAGATCTGTCTGAAGCACAGCACCGTCGACACCACGGACGCCTCCGCCTGCCCGCTTGTCCGACCGCTGCCTGGTGTGTCGGCGCTTCATGAATACGCCGAGTGGATCAGCGAACTGAACGACCAACAGGGAGATACAGACCGTAAGTTTTAGGAGTTCATGTGTTAGAAAGAAGCTACAGATTGCCGTCGGCCGTTAACAAAAACTGAACTTACGTGACGTCTTTTAGTTTAGTTTTTGAGTTTTATCATCAAAGATCTATTATTAGCCCGTCGTGGTCTTATCTTTTTCGAGCAAACAAAAGTCTTCAAGTCATAGTAAAGATTAATTATGTATTTTTCCTTTTCAAGTAAAAACATGGAGGCTGTTTATTGTTTTAATTTCCCCGTTGTGATCGACTGAAAATCATTTTATTCATATTTATTGATTTAAAATATATGTATGTCCGTCTGTCGCTGCAGCTCTGTTGGGTTACTGGTCAGAGGTGTGGACGCTGTGTGAGGCTCTATGGGGTCGTTTGGCTCCTGCAGATCAGGATCCCGACGTGGAGACGCTTGGCGAGTACGAGCAGCAGCTGGAGAGGAGGCGGAGCTTCTCTGCCTGGCTCGCCCACGGAGCCTCCACCAGGGTGGAGGAGGAGGTGGCGCAGGCCAGAAACGGTCGCCACACGGACGCCATCTTCAGCTACCTGACGGGAAACCGCATTAGTGAGGCGTGTCGACTAGCCCAGGAGAAAGGTGAGTCAGAAATGTGAAAACACTGCCGATTATTTACAATGTATGTGCAGAGAAGACAAACTGACTTTATTTCCTGTTTATTTCTCTGTGCTTCCTCAGGAGACCACCGTCTGTCCCTGCTGCTGTCTCAGGCCGTGGGCTCTCAGTACTGCCGAGAACTGCTCGCCCTGCAGCTTGCGGACTGGAACCGCATGCAGACCGACTGCTACCTGCCTGAGGAACGACTGCGTATCTTCACGCTGCTCGCTGGGAAACCTGTACGACTTCCTTCATTTTCCTCTACCTGAACAGGCTCACAGAGATTCATTTGGAGGCCAATAAAACATGTCAAATTCTCTTACATGATACTTTTTGGAGTCCCTGAATGTGATTTTAAAATGCGTCTTAAAAGTAAAAAAACACGTCATTGCACAGTCGTCTAACCTTCATTGTTCAACACTTAATCTTTGAAGCCTAATCACAAATTATTTCTTCCGTTTAAAAGTGATTTATAGTGTTATTTGTGCGTTTTGCTCCTCAGGTGTGGCAGTCGTCTGACTCTGAGGTTAACGTGTGCTCGGAGCTGGACTGGAAGCGCTGCGTGGCCGTCCACCTCTGGTTCATGCTGCCGCCAACGGCCTCTGTGGCAGACGCCCTCGTCAAGTATGAAGCTGCCTTCCAGGTGAGCTGCAGTGAACTTCATTTTCTGACACCTAGTGTTTAAAATGGGTACTGCAGTCCAAATTCTAAACATTGTAGAGAGCTGTCCCCCCCTCTCTAGAGTTGATGCTCACACAGGTTGCCATGTGGTGGACACTGAAGCTTCAGTGTTTATCCAGCTCTGCATCAGTCTGTAAACCTTTCTGTGTTCTAACCTCTCTCCATTTTCAAAATCATCTCCAATATTGATTCTAGTTTGAGCACGTTTCTGCTCGTGGAGCTTATTAGAAACATGCAGAGGCTTTTTAGGTCGGGTACAATCACTTCTATCTGAACCACTTCTCTTGCCCGCTTCCATCACTGCAACACCTGTTGACCTGATAACTGCTCTCATATCTGGGAATGATTCAAAACAGTTTCATTATCTTGTTTTTGTCCTGCAGGGCTTATGTGAGGGGGGGAAGTACGCCTGTGCCCCCCTGCCTCCGTACATTGAGGCGGAGCAGCCTAACATGGAGGATGAGGAGGAAGAGTCAAAACGTCCACTTCATGACCTCTGCTTTCACCTGCTGAAACTCTACAGCGACAGGTAAACCAGCAGAATCTTTTGATAACATAAATATTCTGTAGTTGCAGCTTTAGTTCTTATGTTTGAAAAGTGCTCTAATGATATATTTCGGGTAATATTATTATTTCTCCCCCAGAATAAAGAGGACATTTTAGCTAACGATAAAGGTAACATCTTTGTAGTCCGGGGCAGACGTTGCGTGATAACGTCTGCGCAGTCATGTTGTTATTGTTTACATTTTCTTTATATTTCACGGTCTGAGTGGAACAAGCCACACTGAGTAAATGTGTGTAACGCTCCTTTAATCCCTCTGTGTGTTCCCATGCAGACACTACAGCCTGCAGCAGCTGTTGGACCCTCTGACCGTCACCTGGGAGCGTCTGGACTACCGTCTGAGCTGGCACCTGTGGGGAGTCTTGCAAGCGCTGCACTACAGCCACCTGAGCGCCTCGCGGCAGGGTCTCCTCCACGCCAGCTACGCCGCACAGCTGGAGAGTGCGGGCCAATGGCACATGGCAATCTTCATCCTGTTGCACATTCCCGACCACTCGTAAGAACACCTAAAGTTTCCGACATTCATTTAGGAAACGTCACAGACACTTTAAATGATAAATTACAAACGTTCAGAAAGCTGCAGAGACAATGGTAATGCTTCATCCTTCATTTTGAATTATACATTTATTATATTTCTGTTTGACATGCGGACACAGATGATCGAACTTCTATTTTACCAGGACTATAAAACATCTTTTACGGTTAAGGGTCACTGAACAGGAAGAGCAGCTGTCACATCTTGGTGTGCTGAAATAATTTATAGTACAATAGTTTATGGATAACGCTTTATAGTTATTGTCACTCAAACAAATTGACCCTTTGTCAAGCCCCGCCCTCCTTTATTACTAGGTTTGAAAAAAATCTCCTGTCACCTGGCTTCTTCTACCTCGAGATCTGACGACTTTAATTTGTCTTTATTGATTAAATTATTTTCTGAACTTGTCCTCAGTGACAGAATCAGGAAAGACGTATGAGGAGAACTCTAAATCTCTACAAACTTTTAAAACAATTTAAAATATGATCAACGTCTGATGCTAGTGATGGCGGCTAATGTTAGCTGTCCTCCCGCAACTGCTCGCTGGTCTCTCCTCTACTGACCTCTGGACTCCATCAGCGACCATTTCTGAAGCCAGGGGTCTGAAACATCCTCTAAATGTTGCCCACCTCGTTTTCAATATGCAGTTCAGAGTCACAGAGACATCACATAGAGCTAAATGCTACAGATCCATGCTATGAGAGGGAGCTCTCTGATTGGTGAGTCAGTCAGACCAATTAAGATACACAACAGGAAACAAAGTGCCAGTTTCAAAACTGTGCAGACAATTGACATTTCAGAGTATTTATAAGATCACATCGAACTTCATTTATCCTGAAGGAAATCTTTGAAAAAACGTAGTATTCTGGACTGAGCTGCTGAACTTCGCCCTGAGGACGACAAACTGATGTTTTTCTTTGTTTGTTTTCAGTCAGCGGGAGCGAGCGGTGCGGGAGATGTTGGCCCTCCATTGCCCCCTGCATGACACGGACGAGTCGGTGCGGAGGGAGCGCTTCCTGACCGAGAGGCTGCTGATCCCGGAGCAGTGGATCCACGAGGCCAAGGCTACCCGAGCATGCCGCGACACCAACAGACACTTGGAAGCGCTGCACCTGTACCGTGCCGGATACTGGAGCCGGTGTCACCGTCTGCTGATCCAACACCTGGCCTCAGGTAACAACCCTGAGAGAACTGACAATATTTTGAAAACATGCTGCAGTTTAGCTAAAAATATTCAAGGACTGGATTGAAGTCGGTTTTGGAGTTCTGAAGTTCTGGAGTTAAAAACTAGTTTCCAGGCGCTGCAAAGATTTCCCTTCAGCTTAAAGATGCTGAATCCAGAGGGGGGGGGTGACAGAAGTTCAGGCTCTTTTCGAACCGTTTGGACTACAAGCACAAATAAAGTCTCTTTTGAAAGCTAACAATCCGTAGTTTCAAAATGTGTTAAAATTCTTCCAAAAATCATCAACTGCCGCTGATATAACACGAGGCTTCGTCACATACCGAGGTCGGTTTGGATTTACAGTTTACAAGACACGTCAGACATCAGCCCAGTCGCGAGCAGTTGGCTCGGTGTAGATACGTCAGAATCGGAGCAGAAACCACCTTTTAAATCAGGCTGTCATTGAATCCTGAGTTTCATTGGAGCGATTTTGTCTGAGTGTTATGTCCTTCAAACGGTGTCATAATACAGTACATAGTTATTTGTTTGTCAGAGAGATTTTTCTAAATTGTGGCTGCTGTGTTGGTTGGACCTTGAAATGGTTAACATGGTCGTGATCACAACGAGCCAAGCTTTCAAATGTTCTACAGCACGAATTAAACACGCACAGCTCTGTACACAAAATATGTGTTAAGGACCCACCTCGTGCACGTTAGGCATACCGAAGGTGGTCAGTCGGATCTAAAAGAGGAGATTAATGATGAACTTTTTGCAGAAATTGTGAATTTTAAAGTTGTTTAATGAATCGTTAATTAAGGTATTCTTTTGTTCCTCCCGTCCTGCCGTAGACTGCATCATCAACGATAACCACGACTACCTGCTGGAGTTCCTGGAGGGGCTGGCGGTCCCTGAACACAGCGCGACCATCCAGGACTGGGACACGGCAGGGAGGGTTTATCTGGACTACATCCGAGTCATAAAGACTCTGCATGACATCCAGCAGGTACAGACACCATCTCTACTTCGAAACCTCCATTTATTAATTAATCTGTCATTTTGTTCTGAGTCTTGAACCGGTCTTTTCAAATTCAAATAAACTCAGGAAATCTGATTCATTCATCTGCATGAAAACAGCAAGTACTCACAAATTCCTCTTTGTTCATTTTTCATTGTTGATGAAAATCAACTCATCAGATCTGAATTTAATGAAAACTAAACACAGGAATGTTCATGATGACCTTTTTGTTTTCAACAGCTGTTGCCAATGACCTCAGAGGCATTCAGATCAAAGTCACCAGTTAACATGGTCACACATTAAAGCGTAACACCAACAGAGTGTTGAAAGCAAGCGGCAACCCTTGTGTTGAAAAATGAAGTAAATTTTGAAATTTAACATCCTGCAGTTCCTCGAGTGTCCACTGGAGGCTGGCTGCAGAAGCACAGGAAGTCATATACACACCCATTCTAAAAAGCCTGTTTTTACAGCAGAGATTAACATGTTTACAGCCTGGTTCTAAAAACCAAATAGGTCTGATTAGCTCATGTCTCAATCGGCACAGTCTAGTGCGCATTACATTGTTTGCGCACTAGGGTAAGCAGGCTCTTTTCTTTTGCCCGCTTTACAACATTGCAGTGTGAACGACCCGAGGAGAAAATGTAAAAATAAATAATTTAATTTGACTAAATCAAACTAAAGCCTCAAGCTAAAAACTGAAGCTGTACGATGAATGTGGTGGAGCTGAAGGGGTTAATCGGTTAAATGTTTATAAACTCGTCTGAGTTCACAGCGCTGAAATAAAAGTTCTGATAGAGTTTGACATTTGTGTTTTTCTCCTCACTGTCAGATGGAGAATGCAGGTTACGAGCTGGAGCGTCTCTACACGGACACAACGTCTCTGTGCAGCAGGATCGAGCTTCTGCCCTGCAGCACCGCCAGAGACCGGCTCGCCCAATCAGGTGAGCGCTCCGCTGTTACCATGGTTGTCTTGTTTTACACGGAGAGGAGAGTCTGCAGCTTTTTCCTCAGCTGATAACAACAGCAGGGCGAGTTATGAACACACCTGTTGTCAGATTGAACCTTATTGTCGCAGGGAACATCAACAGTCTGATTATTTTAATCAGTTTATCCACCAGGCTTGTTCAAACCGCCGTCTTCGGCTACACGAACAATAAAGTTTGATTGAAGAGAGTCTGAAGTCAGGAGTTCTTAAATCTCAATGGGATTTTCTCACGACACACAAACCCTGATACCTGCCACAAGTCGTATTAAAAGCCCACTGAAGTATCAACACACGGCACAGATCAACCAAGATAGTTGTGCGAGCTGAGAGTGTCTAAAGTGATCAGTCTCTCTTTGAAGAAGTTCAGACTGAACTGTAAGAAGTGTCCACAGATCGTCTCCATGATGACATTCAAACAAGCTGGAACGGCTTCTTCTATCAGATCAAAAGTACAAATCTTACACTTCAGTTACAAAGATTTAGTTTGATCCTCTTTGAATAAAAGAACAAGAAACACAAAGCTGCAGGTGTGTGAGGATGTCAGTTTCAGGAAGAGTAGACAGGTGTCAGAGGGTAACTCATTCAGGAAACACAAGGAACACAGAAGATAAGACTTCCTGTATTGCAAGATGAGTTAGGACTCGAAAAGATTGGATCCTGCAGGTGGTGTTCCGCAGGTGGGGCTTCGTAGGTAGGACTCTGCAGGTGGGGCTCTGCAGGTAGGACTCCGTAGGTAAAACGTGAGTTTTCAGGGAAAGAGGAGGCTCATGAATCTGTGTTCAGGTAGGTCGATGAACCCGGCTGTTGTTTATGGTCAGAGGGAAAAACTTGTAACTTGAAGATCTTCACTCTGACTAAACAAACCCTCCGCCTCCCCCCCACCCCCCCCCCCCCCCCCATGCAGAAATGGCGAAGCGTGTGGCGAACATCCTCCGCGTGGTGTTGAGCTTGCAGCAGGGCGACGCAGCGTCCGACTCCCTCAGCATCCCGCTTGCACAGCTGGCCCCACACATCACCCGCCTGCCGATGCCCGAGGACTACACACTGGAGGAGCTTCGAGGCCTCACGCAGTCGTACCTGAGACAGCTCATCGTCAGCCAATGAGAGCACAGGAACACGAACAGGAGAGCAGACATGACGACAGATGGACAGAGCAGCACAGCTGCTTCAGATGCAGAAGGTTTTTAAAAAGACAAACAAGCAAAAAAAGGTGTCTGATTTCGTTTCTGGGAGTCTCAGAACATTTTGAGAACTTTTCTCTAGAGTTTATTTTTTGTTTGATTTTGGACGCCGTCCGTCTCTACTTCAGCATTTTCAATTTGTAAACCTGTGACACTTCATTCCTCATCATCTGTGTCTCACTTTTTCAGAGTGTCAAGAAAGATAATCAACAGCAGGTGACATGAAATGACTCTTTAACAACCTAAACCACACCACTGCGATCTAAATGTTTTATTTACTCGCAGCTCACGGTCAAACAAAAGGCTCAAGGTTCCCCACTTTTCCCCGAAGAAGTAAGGCAAAGACGAGTCGAAAGGTTCACCTGCTGGCCAATGCAGGAAAGCAAAGAAAAATAATTTTATATGACCAAAATGATCTCTGTGTTCTAGACTTTTGTCGGTTAATTAACTAAATGAATCGACTTGAAATACACTTGGAATAATATAAATAATTTGGAGCATGAGGCAGAATAGCGAGGGTTTGTGCAGACATTTAGGAACGAATGTTTTTGTGTTCAGACCAAAAGCAAAAGATAATTTAACTCTATTTCTAGAACGAGTCGTTGCAAAGATGTAGAAATTCACACAAATGACTTTGACATTCCTGATGTGAAGTAAGAAAGGCGAGAATGTCAAACATAAGTCCAGACAGAGGTGACGAGACGCTTCCTTACAACCTGCTTGTGTGCGTGCGCGTATAGATGATGTTTTGAACCCAGACATGAAAGATGCCGAGAGAAATGCAAAAGTTCACTTTGCTTTTGGTCTCAACACATTTGAGGCGTTTATTCTTCGTTTTATTCTTTCTGATGGAATAAAGTTTAGGAGACTCTCTTGGGTTGATATTTTGGGGGCCTTTATTAGATCTGACAGCAGAAGAGAGACGGGAAACTTTGGGAGGAGAGAGAGCGTGGGATGACATGCAGCAAAGGTCGGAATTGGAACCTACGGTCGCTTATGCAACATAAGTGCTAGGCTATCCGGCGCTCCAGCAGACTCTCTTAGTTTATTTGTTTTTTTAAATCTGGGTCTCAGAGCCCTCAGGGTCTACCCAAGCTCGTTTGAGACTAATAAAAACTAATTGTGACTGGTCAAAGTAGAATTGGAGGTCTGTCATTGGATGTGTTGGAGATCTGGAGCCTGAAACTGTGGGATTAAAATTATATTCACACAAAGAGTCATTTTAAAGTTCTGTGCTTGTTGTTTAATCTTTAAATGCTCCCAGAAACGGGCTTCACTCCTCCCATGGCAGAGTTTCTTCTCTCTGTGCACGCTAGCGTTAAAACCCTCCATAGCATGTCTGACACGTACTCCAAAGAAACGTCACGTTATTGCAAAGCTCTGATAAAAATGTGTGTGTGTGGGAGAAGACACAATCACACCTCGGCAACGTTAGTTGTTGGTGAAAGAAAACGGCCGTTAGCTTAGCGCAGTGTGACGGTAGCATCTGTTCATCTGTCGATATGTGAATAAATGATCTTATTAATACAGACGAGCGCTGACGTCGTACAAAGGGGTTCGATGTGCACAAAGTGGATTTTTCTGGAGACGACGACTCGGACGAGAGCTCGACGGGCAAAGAGTTAAAACACCTGATGGTCTATTTTTGTAGATTTCTTTTTTTTCTCTGTTTGAATGAGAGTCAATTCAGGTGTGTGTGTGCGTGTGTTAACGTCTGTGTGAGGTGTGTTAGCGTGTGTTTGAGTCAGTTTTGTATGTAGCGTGTGTGTTAACGTCTGCGTGTGAGGTGTGTGAGGTTCTATTAAGGTCTGTGTGTGTGTGCATGTAAACCATAGATAAATGACTACAAACATAAAAGTATTTTTTATATATTATAACTTCATTTGAGTTTCATGTCCTGTTTCCTAAAGTGAAGCGTTTCCTTCCAAAACCGGACGCCAGTCAGAGATTTCGCTGCGTGTAATTATATAAATATTGTATATTTTTGGAAACGGGGAACATCAGGTCATTTTTATCCTCAACCTTTAATTATTGATCAATTGGATGCAAAGCGTTTTGGAATGAAGCCCTTCACTTATTGGTTGCTTGTTTGGCTCGTCTTCTTTTTGTTGTAGATTAACCGTCAGCCCGCCAAGAACGTTTGTTTTTCAACTCAGTTTTGTTGTTTCACAGGAAACAGGAAGCTCTATGATGTCTGTTTATTCTCCTGTTTAACCAAATGTGTGTGTGAGAGCATGTTTCCTGATGATTCTGTTGATAATATTTTTTAATAAAGTCGAGTAGAAATAAAGAAATGTTTCTGTTTTTCCTTTTCCTCTGGATGTTTTATTTCAGGTGGTGCATAAAGGTCAAACTTGACTCAAGTTTGACCTTTATGCACCACAGTCGGATGTTTACAAGGTGAAAAAAATGAGAAATGGAGCAACCTTAAGCACCGAACCATGTCAAATGTGCTTTGTTTAGGAAAGTGTTGGGAAACAGAAAAAGATGATATAAAAAGGCCTGAGCACAATTTCCCCCCCCCCCTCCCCTGCTGGTCTGCGTTCACATTAGTAACATGGTTCCCTACCCCGAGTACACTGCACATAGTTGATTTGCAAATCCTCCAAAAAGCAGAAATAAGACTGCAGACTGAGTCCATCCTGCTAACTTTGGATGTTTCTGTGATTTCTTAGACGCCAACAACGACCCTCTTCCTACGTCCTCATCTATGTTGCAGCTCAGAGGACGATACGGCCCGTGCTGTGAGAGGTTTTTGAAGCTACAAGAGCTGTTTAGAATTACGTCATACAGCGGTCAACTTCCTTGTTCAAACACGTTTGTGATCACATGCCCTACGGGCTGTACTCGAGAACTCATGAATCGTGCCCAAGACCCCCTCTTCAAGTCGACTTGGGCACGGTACAGAGTATGGTACGTTTGTATTTACACTTCTCAAACGAACCAGACTTCGGGGTCAAGCCTTCTCAGATCCGGGTCCAGGTCCCTAATGTGAAACCACGTTGGCTTGTCACTGTGACTCATTCGAATCAAAAATATAAAATACAATTCAACGTCCAGATTTTTTTGGATTTATTAAACAAGAGTGAAAAATTTATTTTGAGTTGAGCCTCTAGTTGTCAGGAGGCTAAAGGCCTGCCTCTGCTACACCTCTATGTTACAAGGTTAATCAAAAGTATTCCAGATATGATGACCGGCATCATTGGGCTTCAAAACGCATTTTCAGAAACAAATGAGTGAAGTCACAGACTACGTCCATGTTTTTTAGAGTCTATGGTAGATTTTTGTAAATTTGAATCCTTTTTTGATAGCAGGTGTTTAAAAAAGATAACATCTCTTTTATTTGAAATGATTGTATAGAAAGGTACAAACATTTAAAGTAACTACATCTATTTCATGAACTCCTAGCACCGTATTACTCTCTGACGTCGCCACAAACACCTGGTTGTTGAACTGCAGGTCGGTGTCGGTTCATTTAATCAAACATCCAGCTGAACAGGTTTCCATCAAAGCCTGCAGAGAGACGGGTACAAAGGAAGTGAAGGTTAGAGACAATCCGTCATCCCAGGGAAGATGCAACGTGCTGTAGACTTTACGTTTCTTTATGCATGTATAAGCGTTGTGTTTATGTATAAAACTATTGCTTTGAAAATTATAAAGTGGACCCAGAGTTTATAACAGATTGTCGTGTGCTATTGCTATAAATAATCTGAGTTCTGACGGTTGCTGAAAGAGTTTAACTATCTCAGAGTCTTGTTCACGGTGAGGGTATGATGGCCATAAAATGCATGTATGCAATGCAAAGTATGCAGTCTATGACACAGCCGAGGAATCTTCTGTAGACCAGACCGTCTCATTTAACGTCAGCTTGAGCAGTCTACACAAGCTTCGAACGCCAGGTCCTTCAAAGGATGCTCCTCCTGAATTGGGACGCAGCCGTAGATTGTCTATGGCACTACATATACACGTGCAAACATAAAATAAAATAAACATTTTTCACCTTTTTTGTCTTGTTTGTACTCTGAGCAGAATCCTACACAGCTTTCCCAGCTGAGGCTTTTGTGCATTTGGGTTTGCTGGCAGCTTTCTTCTGGAAACAAAGAGGACAAAAAAATGACAAAAACTGTGTTTATATAAACAGCAGAAAAGGTTGTGAGCATGGTGTAGTGTTTAAAGTGGACCTGGTTTGATGTCCTTCACTCTCACCTCAGGTTTGCTGCTCTTCTGTTTATCTGCAGAGAAACAAAGAAACAGAGTTACCTGTAAGGGGTCAGACTGAAAGGTCGCTTTAATGTTTTCAGTATCAGTGGATCTCATGAACATTTGGTTCCTTGATTTAAAATTATGACGCATTTGTTTTTTATCCCTGAGTTTTTCAGCGTTGCCATTAGTGTATTAGTGTGTTGTTTAGTCTTGGATTTTTTTTGGGACTTATGATTGTCAAGGGTCGATGGTTATTACAAACTTGACTTCCCACCTGAATTTGCCTCTGACTCGTCTCTGTTAATGAACATCAGAGCTAAGATTTTATGAAGAAAAAAAACATCTTATACATTTAAGTTTCTTACTCTGATCCATGAGCTACAACACAAACTGTTCCACACGATCACTTGAGTGGTGACATACCAGCGGCAGGCACTGATCCTGAGTCAGCTTTAGGTTTTGTCTTCTTGGGTACTGATCCTGAGGGGTTTGGCTCCTTGGACATTGATACTGAGTTAGCTTCAGTTGCAGGTACTGATTTAGCTTCAGTTGCAGGTTTTGGCTCCTTGGGCACTGATCTTGAGGGTTTCGGCTCCTTGGGCACTGATCTTGAGGGTTTCGTCTCCTTGGGCACTGATCCTGAGGGTTTTGGCTCCTTGGACATTGATACTGAGTCAGCTTCAGTTGCAGGTTTTGGCTCCTTGGGCACTGATCCTGAGGGTTTTGGCTCCTTGGGCACTGATCTTGAGGGTTTTGGCTCCTTGGGCACTGATCCTGAGGGTTTTGGCTCCTTGGACATTGATACTGAGTCAGCTTCAGTTGCAGGTTTTGGCTCCTTGGGCACTGATCCTGAGGGTTTTGGCTCCTTGGGCACTGATCTTGAGGGTTTTGGCTCCTTGGGCACTGATCCTGAGGGTTTTGGCTCCTTGGACATTGATACTGAGTCAGCTTCAGTTGCAGGTTTTGGCTCCTTGGGCACTGATCTTGAGGGTTTCGGCTCCTTGGACATTGATACTGATTTAGCTTCAGTTGCAAGTTTTGGCTCCTTGGGCACTGATCTTGAGGGTTTCGACTCCTTGGGCACTGATCCTGAGGGTTTTGGCTCCTTGGACATTGATACTGAGTCAGCTTCAGTTGCAGGTTTTGGCTCCTTGGGCACTGATCCTGAGTCAGCCGCAGGTTTGCTCTTTGAGGCTGTAAAAGACATTTTAAAAACTGAAAATTATTTTGTAATAAATAATGTATGAAAAAAGCTAAAAGGCCTCTTCTGTGTAGAGAATGTGCTCAAAGGATCCATCAGTAGCTCTGTTATACGGCCCTAACACCAAACAACACTTCAAGCTACTTCAAAGTTAAAGTAGTAAAATCCTGAGAGTTTATCTAGAGTCAGGGCTCGTTTTGTGTGAGGTCCGAGCTGTTTTAAGTCTGTTTCTAGTCTTCACATTACGATAAAATCACAAGTTTCATATTTTAACAGTTCTTTAGTCTTGTCTTAAAGGGATACTTCACCCGTTGAAACATGAATCTGTATTGACATTGAGTCATATATGTAGTAGAAATGTGAAATACATTTTGAAGTTGGTGCTTTCTTGGTCGAGAAAAGGCAGAAAGTGTCTTTTTGGCTCATGTGGATGAAAGACACCAAATCCCAGAATGCACAGCACCGCAGGCCACTCCAACTAAGGTCCTCTAGTTCAGAATCAGAAATACTTTATTATCCCAGAGGGAAATTCGATCGTTACAGTTTCTCCAAACTATACAATATAGCAGTAGAAATATAGTAATAAAAACATTTACAGACATATTTACTTCAACACATGAGGCCATTTCCTCAACTGATTCTGAAATTTCTTCCAGAATTGATCTTGGAAATTCCTGGCAGAAAACAGACTCTATGTCTGTGTCCATAGGCAAACAGTGAGAGCAGCGACACTACCAGTCCACCCCAGCTCGAGCCGGCCCAGGCTCCTCGTCCTCACCGCCGCCGATCTCCATGACAACAGTTTATTTGAGAAGTTTCGGTCAGGATTTAGAGTCCACCATAGCAATGAGACTGTACTAGTTAAAGTTACAAATTATCTACTTCTAGCTTCAGACAGGGGACTTCTCTCTGTGCTCGTCTTGTTAGATCTTAGTGCTGAATTTGACACTATTGACCATCAAATCCTATTACACAGACTAGAAAAATTACTTGGAATTAGAGGGACTGCTTTAAGTTGGTTTAAATCCTGTTTATCAGATCGATCTCAGTTTGTACATGTTAATCATAAGTCCTCTATGCACACCAAAGTTTGCCATGGAGTGCCACAAGGTGCTTCAGTGCTTGGACCAATTCTCTTTACATTACATATGCTTCCTTTGGGAAATATTATGAGGAAACACTCCATAATTTTTCATTGTTATGCAGATGATACTCAGCTTTATGTATCAATGAAGGCTGATGGCACCAGTCAGTTATGTAAACTAGAAACGTGCCTTAAGGATGTTAGGACCTGGATGACCAGAAATGTTTTGCTACTTAACTCAGACAAGACTAAAGTTATTGTGCTAGGCCCTAAAAACCTCAGAGAGACTTTTTCAAATGATATGACTGTCTTTAATGACATTAGCCTGGCATCTAGCACCACTATTAGGAATCTAGGGGTTCTATTTGATCAAGACATGTCCTTTAACTCTCACATCAAGCACATTTCAAGAAGATCAGGAATATCCTGTCGCAAAATGATGCAGAAAAACTAGTTCTTGCATTTGTTACCTCCAGGTTGGATTATTGTAATTCTCTTTTGTCAGGGTGCTCTGGTAAGTCTCTAAAGACTCTTCAACTAGTCCAGAACGCTGCAGCTCGTGTACTAACGAGCACTAGGAAAAGGGACCACATTACTCCTGTGTTGGCTTCTCTGCACTGGCTCTCTAAAAAATCTAGAATAGAATTTAAAATTCTGTAAAATCCTTTGAATTTGATTAACTGGCTTGTTTCAATCTAAAGGAGTAGCGGCTCTACTCCAAGCTCCCCCCGAATGTCTGGGCTCCTGACCCTTGCGCTAAGGCTGAGCCCAGACCTCTCTTTGATCAACACTACTAGATATTCTAACTACTTGAACCTTGTTTCCTCAAATGAAATAAATGATTAAATTAACAGAAATGAATTATATATTTTAGCTGCTTTCTGAAGCTCCTCCCACAGGAGGTTGTACTGTCGTACCTGTGATTGACAAAAGCGCCCCCTCTGGTGTGATACTTCATGCTGGTAAGTGTTTTATAGTTGTTTTAATCTCAATTTTGAAGAACTGTGTTGTGTTTTGAAATTACCCTTTAATTTCAGTCGATGTTTTTCACGTTTTTCCACAAAGGGGCGCAGTATGCTTTGGACTGGATTGTCCATCCTCGGTAGCCGCTTCAGCTCTTTGTCCATCAAAGAAATGGAGTCCAACGCCCCGTAGTGCTTGATGATTATTTGAGGGATCTCCACCCTGAGCTTGTCCGCCCTTTCTCCTTGGGGGATTTTTTCCAGGTTGACCAAAAGCTTCTTGTATTCTAACTCCGTCAGCTCCTCCATGATTTGGATCATGGCTTTTTTCCAGCTTGACTCTAAAACCTTCACTGACATCTTCTTCACTGACATCTGTAACACAGAGAGGAAACAGAAACTGAAGCACCACTAGACGACTCAGCAAGACCGTGAGATCACCTGCAGTTTGTAGTAACAATCTCACAGACACGAGATCTCAAAGAAACTTGTGTGATCAAACATGAAGGACGAGCTGTGTGTTCTGTTTTGCAGTTAAGAGATCCTGGCTGAGACAATGGCTGCAACAACCACCCAGAACAATAACAAATAGACACTGTTGTTTTTAAAGGAGCAGTATGTAGCTCTTACACCCAGTGTTTAAAATGGGTACTGCAGTCCAAATTCTAAACATTGTAGAGAGCTGTCTCCCCCCTCCTCTCTAGAGTTGATGCTCATGCAGGTTGCCATGTGGTGGACACTGAAGCTTCAGTGTTTATCCAGCTCTGCATCAGTCTGTAAACCTTTCTGTGTTCTAACCTCTCTCCATTTTTCAAAAGCATCTCCAATATTGATCCTAGTTTGAGAACGTTTCTGCTCGTGGAGCTTATTAGAAACATGCAGAGGCTTTTTAGGTCGGGTACAATCACTTCTATCTGAAACACTTCTCTTGCCCACTTCCATCACTGCAACACCTGTTGACCTGATAACTGCTCTCATATCTGGCAAACTGAGGGGCGTCCAAAACGGCCGTGTGGGCCTTCTCTGGTCCAAACAAATCCAGAGCATTCAGGACCAGAATCTAAAGTTAGAAGGAGGACATACTGGCTGCTGCATTGTTGTCAGAGAAGCCAGCGCTTCAACATAGCATGTTTCCTTAATGTCTGATCATATAGTAAGGTCACTTTATCATTTCAATCACTACACATCTTACTGATTGGACCTTTAAAAGTCCCCTTTTAATGTCATTAGTTCATGTTTTATTTTAAATGTAAGTTGTGTTTTTGTGTGAGCCTTGTCAAAGGAGAATGTCTGTCCCCGTTGTGAAAGACAAAGTTTATCTATGTAAACTTTTCGCACAGATTTGCATTTCCTCAGTGAGGTCAAGACGTAAGTCATTAAATCCATGCAGCCTGTCTGTCTCTCTCTCTATCCTCAATTCAATTAGATTTATTGGCATGACAGATCAACAATCCACGTGGCCAAAGTAGTAAAACCACTACAACTATCTCTCTCTCTTTTGCTCTCTCTCTATCTCTCTGTGTGCAGGCAGTTGCAGGCGTGTCTGTCTTATAAACTGTAACCACACCTCTTTCGACAAAAACGAAAATGAAGTGCTGAAAAGGTGCGATCACGTCTTCACTAATGTTTACATATTTTTATTTTGTCTTCCATTCTTCATAATTTCTCACATTCACACTTCAGGTGACTGTTTGAAGCTACACTTTCAGGATCACATTGACTAAAGAAGCGTAAACTGTTTTTCCCTTTGGTTTAAATGTTCATGTATGTATTTAAACATCCAGAACAAGATGTACCTGCTTTCAGGTGTTTAAACCTCGACCCTCAGGTATCAGGTTATTAATCTCACCTCACATTCAAAATAAAACAACACAGGTTATGATGAAGACTTACTGTTTCCTCTTGATGAGCTCACAGTCTGTTTCCTCAGAGAGATGTCGATCAGTCAGCAGTGGCTGAAAAAGAAACTATTAGTTTATGATTCAAATAATGAATGAGTGGAAGATACCATCTCAACACAGGTTTTACATCCTGCTCACCATCCAACTCTCATCTTACCATCTTAACCTCTTCATTAAATGCTTATATTTTTATTTAGAGTGTTTCTTTATTTAATCCTTCTTGTTTAAAACTTTTCTACCTGCTCGTTTCCTCTAACATCCAGTTTGTAACTCACAGTTTCCCCTCAGACTAAAGATGGTTCAGTCCACTTCCTGCCTCTGAACCGCTCTGCACACAGCTCAAACTTCCACTCTCATGTTGCAGAGATGAAAACGAGTGTGATGACACTCGGACTTGAGTCTCACACAAACATGACTTGAGACTCTGACTTGCCCCTCAAAGAATTCAGACTCGTGGTGTGTTTATGTTTTTAAAATTGTACTGCGTTATTACGAGTTGAACGTCATCCCCTCCCGTCATGCCATGCGTAAGCACATTCCACAGGTGACACCCGCGGCTCACCTGGAGCTGCTGCAGGCGGTACATAACTGCAGTCAGGCCAATGGCCTCTGATGCGCGTCTATGTCCTCCCTAAACCCTAAACCCTAAACCCTGAGCCCTTACTGACTTTATTGACGTCACCTGGAAAGTGATTGAGTGCATGAGGCTGCGGGGGCTCCAATGGTTAAATACAAATAGGACAGCACTTTGCAACTTCTCTGTAACCATGACTACATGATGTCATGTGGCAAAAGCTTATTTTACGTTTTTCACTTTTCTCACTGAGACATGGCGCTTATAAAAAGTTCTACTCAATATAAGCCTAAATATAAATGTATTAGTTGTAAAATACAAATATATAAATATGTAAAAATATAAATATAGGTTTTTCTTATCTTATATAAATATAACGGGACTAATATGCTCTCTGTCTCTCTTGTTTACGTTTATAGACTTGCAAATGAGTTCTGAATTAGCGGTATTTTCCAAATAACCTTTTTTAGTAGACTGTAAATAAAGCGTGGTTTCACCGTCCTGTTTTTTTTTTTACCGTCTCTACCTTTTTTTCAGTTTTATGGCGTTTCTTTACCTCTCAATTATTGTGGGCTTCCCCAGGAAATCATATGTTTCACGTCCCAATGCTATGAACCATGGGTAATTCCCTCACGTTAAGTCTGCGTGTAGTGGTTTCTTCAGTCTTCTTAGTAAATCTTATGTTCTTACACTGAGTTCTTTCTTAACCACTCTATAGTGACGACATTACACTGTTTTACGCGTTGAGTTGACACTATCATCTGGATTCACGTCATCTTGGTGTTGTTGTCTTATATTAGATGTCCATCCCTCAACCTCAAGCATGAATTTATTAACTTGCTCAGTTTTTGGCTTGAACCAAAATGTTTGATCAGCCTCTTTTTCTTCTTCGGGTAGCAGCAACAGTACATTATCATTTGTATGAATAAACTCATTCTGTAGTTTTGAGCATTAATTCAAGTGATCATCAACAATGTCTGGACTCTCATTATCTTTCATAAGTCCATTAATCTTACTCGTTTTTGCTGTTAGCTGTGAGAGTTTAGCTCGTCTTGCATTAATGTGCCTGTTCAGGCACTCTTCCAAACCCTTTTGTGTACTTTGGCGCCCTCTTCTGGTCAGCCCTGCTACTAAAGCTCTGTGCGCCAGGTCCGGGATCCTGCGCGTCGTCGTCCGCCATGATGCCTCTTTTACACAATTTCTAGTTCAACAAGTGTTCATGAACGATGGTCTATGACACAAAGCACGGCATGCTTTCATAATGAGTGTCATCGTAGTAAGACCAAATATCCTTGTTGTCTTATTTTCTCGAGAAGCTGAGTATCTTACATTTATTCTTGTGCCGTCATGGCGTCCGACGTCAAGTTTGTGAGCTGGTAGTTTTACTTAATGTAGTGGTTTCTTAGGTCTTCTTAGTAAATCTTATGTTCTTAAACTGAGTTCTTTCTTAACCACTCTATCATCCGAATTGTCCCTCCTATCTCCTTTCACTATCCACTTTACCTTAACCCCGGAAGCGGTCGGCCATGATAAAAGCCGTTTGAATTCTCTAAAAGTTAAGGAAAGGTGGGTCAATGCTTCCTTTATAACCTCCTTTAGCATAGGATACACTGGACCATCCTTTACCAAAGGAGATGAGATATGCCGCCCCACAATTCCTTGCGGCCGCAACAAAGCGAGTCGCGCATCCGACCGTTCACGAACATTAACGATGATCGTAAAGAGACACGGATCATAAAAGAGATAAAAAGATAACAGACGTTTTTATCAGATGATGTTTTATTCAACATATTTCATTAAATTCATAATGTTTTGTGCATTTCTTCAGTTGTACATTCTTGTCTTGCATACATGTAACAATTAATTTCATATTTATTTTGATGTTGATTTCTGAGTGGACAGGAAGCTGATGGTTTCACTTTTCTTACTCGTAGCCTTGTAGTCTATATTGCTTTTATTTCAATCCCAACCTTGTGGTAATTAGGATTATTTCACCGGTAAGAAGGTACAGAAAGAGTTTTTTAGATGCGTTTTTTGTAGTCCATTTTCGGAACATTGTAGTTTCAACACGGCAGACCACGTCATTAACCTCCGCCGGCCCGTCGCATTTAATGACGTCGCCTAGTGGAAAATGTGGTCGGATTGTCAGAGCAACAAGATCGCCTTTCCCTAAGTCCTTTATGAATTCTCCTAACATCTTTCCTTAACCTCATGACGTTTTCGTGGGGTTAAGGTAAAGTGGATAGTGAAAGAAGATAGGAGGGACAATTCGGATGCACCCATCCTAAAATCTGCAGTCACAGCCCAGGACATGAGGAACAAGAATCCATTGAAAGTTCCTTGTCACCTTTCAGACTTTTCTAAATAAAATATGAAATAAATATGACTAAAAGATTAGTGTGTATTTCCTTTAATCATCTCAAAAACTTTAGAGTAAAATCATCCTAAACTGTACAGGACTATCACAATGTTTAAATTATATTTTTATTTCGGTTTATATTTTCTGTTTCATGACGAGTTGTTATAATCCACAACCTCATTTGTTGTTTTTGGGCGCTCCAAGCACCTGTACCGTAATTCCCAGAATAGACCTGCACCATTTTTCAAGCGGCAGCTGGCCTGACCGCAGTGGAACATCTGCCAGACGGGATTTAGGACGTCACCAAGTTTGCCACATCCAGAGCCTAGTTTAGGATGTCAAAGACAACACCACTGACCCCCCCACTTCCATACCACTCTCCCTCTCTCACTGAAACACACCGTCCGGACTCCGACCACGAGTCCAACACGATGCTCAGAGGTGCTGCTTGTCAACAGGCAAGGCAGGCAACTGCTTGGGGCCCCAGGCCAGTAGGAGCCCCAACCTTTAAACCATAGCAGGGGCTAAAAATCTTCAAATTTTGCTACGACTTTAGGAAACTTCACTAAGAGGGCCCCATCTGACAGTGCTCACATTGTTGCACTACTACGACTTTCATATTGAAATCTCAGATTAGTTTTTCCCCTTAATGTGGTCCTAACACTCCTTCGTTTAAAACAAGGCAACAATCTCAGGTGTGATTATTGAAGTACAAAGTTTGCAGGACAAGAGAATATGTTTTCTTCATTGGTCTCGTTTTATTCTTTAAAATAACAGGCAGCCCCTTATCTCGTAAGAGTAGATAAAAAAAACAGCCATCACATAATTAAATAAAATTAGTGAACAGGAAACCTTCAAACAGCCGTTTACATCTTTAAAGCTGCGTTAATTTTCTTTATGCGACTTCCTTCGATTTCCACATCGGCTATGAGTGGGATTTTATCAAGGAGCCTTTTTTCAAAATCACGCTCCAGTTTGATGTCCAATTCCTTCGCCAGAAGTTTAGACGCCACAACAAACGTGTGCACTTGTTGGTTGAAATCTGCCTCCAGACGAGTCTCCTTCTTTGTGGCCTTTAGGATCCCCACGATCTCGATTTTAACGCTCTGGATGCCCGCAGTCTTAACCTGCACAGAGACAGAGCAACATCAACAGTCAGGGTTCAGGATGTGCAGAAACAAAGTGTTGAACAGTTGGCAGCATATAAAGTCAGTGAGTGAGTAATACAAGATTATGCCAGGAGGGGTGCAGTACGAAGCAAGAATAACTGGTAACCCGGTATGTTGAGCCAAACATCAGGCGTCTCTTAACCTGCCGACTGAATGTTCCTTCTATGAGAGACTATCATTCAGACTTTGAGCCGTCTTAGTCAAAGAGAGAAATCATGTTGAACTCGCTCCGTAGTGCATCTCTCTCATGCCTGATTCTATAAGCAGACTAAAGGACAAACATGGCCGTCATAAAAAAACAAACAGCAGAGAGAAACAGTGCAGACACCTTTTGGATTTTAGCATTTGCAGTAGAGTTCAGCTTCACTTCTTCGTAATACTCGTTGGTCTTCATGTTGGTTAGCTTAACAACGTCTCCAACTGATAAACCTTTGCATTGCTTGGTTTCTTCGCCCCACATCTGGATCCAGATGGAACTGGACTCATCTGTCAGCTTGAGGCGCTGAGTCTTTATTTTCTGCTTCTGGTACGACACCTTAGTGTCTTCAGCTGGATCAATCTACACAAAATAACAACAAGAGATTTGAGACGCACCGATTGTCAAAATCAGCAATGTTTCAAATAACGATTAGGCAGATTCTGATGCTGTTTATTTCATTACTTCTTCATAACTCTTCAAGTCTGTTTTCAAAGAAGCTTTGTGGTTGGCTGAATTAAAATTGCCGTCAGTCGTCCATCCTCTCTAAGGGCGCACTCACATTAGACATTCCGTAACGTTCCTAAGCACCCTTCACCCCTAAAGTCCGGTTTAGTTTAGTGTGAATGCTTCGATCCGTGCTCGAGCTCTGTACACTTCCTCGGCCCTGGCATGCTTTGAAGAGGTGTGCTTTAGCATGGTACACTTCATGCACAAGCACAAGCACGGGCACTCAACATGGACAGTCTTCATGAAGAAGAAACCCCGGAGTGTT